CAATATTTGCCTCAGCAAAACTTGAAAAATCAGACTAATTTTGCAGGCAGTAATTATTCAGAACACATTCACATCACAGATCATGACAATATTGGCACAGATGAATTCTTCTCTCTACTACCCAAACATATAGAATTTGTGTTACAGAACCCCCCCTCACCCCAATACTAAACTCTCGGCACTGATAGAAGGGGAGGGCATGAATGTTACCTGGGAAAACATAGAGAGAATTGATCAATATATAGTCAAATGCAGAAGCCACAGGCTTCCACTCTACAATCCCTATACATATGTGTATGAGTTGGTGAGAGCAATCCATCAGTACCAAAATTGTTGTGATCAGTCATGTAAAAATATCTAAACAATTAGCTTGGGAGTTAAAGGACCTAGCACACGAGCACTTTTCCATCAATTTTTGCGCTTCCATTTGAATTTTGCACTTTGCACTGTTCAGTTACAGAAAAGGATTGGTCACGCTATGAACAGTGTTCCTCTGTGGGGAAACATCGAACCTGATAAGACCAAACTGGCCACAATACCCTTGATGAACTACACGTTGATAAAAGTCATGGATTCTATGAATATCATCGCATATCAATTGAAATAATAAAAAAAAGTAGACATTAAACTTAGAAAAGCCTATCCACTGATTTTATTAATTATCATACATCTTGCAACCTTCCTGATAATCCATACTTCAACAGGAACAAAATATCTGAGAATGTTTTTACTAACAGCCTATACCACTATTAGTTTAGTCAGAAATGTATGAGATGAAAATTTATGACTGATAAAAATTGAAGGGAAGAGGAACTGAATACAATACATTTAGTAATGTATCATTAATTGTTAATCGTGTCACAGACTTGCCAGCCATACAAAATGAAGTTTCTTGTTGATTTCATCTATTATTCTTATATATAATTTTCTACAAATTTGCTATTTCTGGATGGTATTTTATAATAATACTCTGGTTCGCACTTTCTCCACTAAGGCGTAGATCTTGTTTGAAGTGCTCCATGTCTTTGGCAAGTTGTAGTGGGCATTTGTTTGCTTTCCTTATCAAGTGTATGTTTGTCTGAATAATCTTAATTTTTTTTTACTGAGGTATCATTACTAGTTGTAATAAATATTACTTATTTTTACAGTAAAATTAGAGACTACCAAATATGACATTATAATCATTGTTTGGACAATTAAGTAATAAGTTATCTAGTAATTATACTACAGTTTCTGTTTTGGCATCATCTTTCCCTCTCTAGCTGGGTCAAAATACCAACACAGTGGTGGGCTGGGATTTTCATCTCACTTCCCTCTGCAGATAGGGATGTATCCTGCTCTGTAAAAGTATCCCTGGATAGAATAAACTAGTGCAACCAGCCTATAAGTAACCATGGCACCATCTGAGTGAGATCCCAGGAATCACAGAGATCATGTCACTAAAGGAAATATAACTATGTCAAGTTAACTATTATATTGTATATAGAAATATTTTAGAATATCAGCATATGTTTCCAAGGACCTCTTTTATTTCAGTCATTATTCTAAAAACACTGTAGTAATGCAGATCCTTTGCAGGACAAGAACAGGACAGAAATTGGCCATACAGAGACAGTACTACCATCTTCATTTAGGAGTTCCACATGTAAGCGATACATGCAGAGAGCCTCAAATTCATGATATAAAAACTACTACTGTGATGGGTTTGTTTCAAAATTTAAAATAAATACACCAGAAGTAGTGTAGGATTCACGTTGAACAAACTGAACTTAAACAACAAAGGAAAGAACAAGTAAACATATCAATAATCTGAAGGCCTTTGGTACATTTGTGTGTTTTCTTGTTCTTCCCTTCACTGTTTTATTCACTGAGAGTAGTGCACAAGTGAGGTATATCCCTCAAAACTTAAAATTTCATGACTTGATTTATATTCATTATCTTAATTTAATTTTTCACTTCTTCAATATCTCTACAGTTTAAGATACAACTCATGTCTTTTCATTTATCCACTTGCTTTTACTGTTATATGGCTGTCATGAAGGTTTCGTCCATATCCCCCTTATCCACCACCCAGACGCCCTGATCACTGGGTACTTGGTTTCTTTCTCCTTCTCCTCTTCCTCTTTCTTCTCCTCCTTCACCTTCTCCTTCTCCTCCTCCTCCTTCTCCTTCTTCTCCTCCTGACCCTCACCTACTTTTCTATTCCTTTCATACACACTTATACACATACTCATATGGTGTAATATCTGCAACTATAAACATAAAGGAGAAAAACACATACACTGAATAGACATATACAATTGAAATAAATACAAAAATAAATACTTCCATTTTAATATATCTTATCTATAAGGAAATAAAAACATATCAAAAGTCCATAAATTAATCAAGTAATTGACAAGCATTCTAGATATTTCACTCTCTCTCTCTTACTCTCTTGTTCCTTACATCTCTCTTCCTTTCTACAAATAGTATATATGCTCAAGAGCCTTAGGCCTAC